TCATTATTAATTATCATTATTATCATTGTTATTATTATTATCAATTATTATTATTTTATTATTTATTATTATTAATTATTATATATTATTATATCATTATTATTATCATAATCATATATCATCATTATTTATTATCATTATCATTATGATTATCATTATTATTATTATTACTGTTGCTGTTATGATTATAATTAGTATCACCATTATTATCATTACCATTATCGTTCTTATTGTGATTATTGTTATTATTATTTTCATTACAGTTATTATTGATATCTTTATATCTTTATAACATCATTGTTATATTATTATATTATCATTATTATTATTATTATTATTTTTATTATTATCATGATTATCATTTTAATAGTTTTCACTATTATTATCATTATTGTTATTATCATTATCGTTATTGTCATTATTATTACCTTTATCGTTGTTATGTTCATCATTATAGTTATTGTTATTATTTTCTTATTATAATTATGATCATTATCATTATCATTATTATTAACACTATTGTTATTATTATTATTATTATCATTATTGTTATTATTATCATTATCATTATTATCATCATTATTATTATTATCATCATTATTATTATTACTATTATCATTATCATCATCATTAACATCAGCACGACTAGCACTGCCTTTTGTAGTTGGATTACCTAATGATCATTTACGAACCTATTTTGAATCATTTATTCTAACGATGTCCTGCGCCTTGGATATGGTAACAAGAAAACACATGGTCACTTGAACAACACCCGTATTGTTGTAAGGAATCCGGTTTACATTATTACTAGTGAGACAGAACTTATGATGACACTATTTGTTATGTGTTCAATATGCCATGATTTCAAATCGTAGACTCCTGCAGCCATTTTTAGGGAAGTCGGATACAAAATGGCTGTAGAAATGTGTGTGGTTATGTTTTGTCAACATAACATATGTAATAAATTACTCCTAGCATTCAATACTGAATCAGCTTACTAATGCATGCTTTCTTACCTGCGTGTTATTGCTATACAGTATACATTGCACGCTCCTAGAAGTACAACTGTGCCCTTCCGTGTACACATACCCCAGGCTAGGAATGCTTGATATGGACAGTTATGTGTCATCTGTCATCTTGTCTTACTTAACTCGGTTAGTAGTGTATTGCAAAACTAGACAAACACGGACAAAATCCCCTGGAGCATTCGTGTAGCAAACATTATTTGACATAAAAGTTAGGGTAGGAAAATGTGTGCCATCTGTTTTTTTTCCAGATCAAAGATGAAATCATAACATAAAAAATTCAGATACAGAACATCTTTCTTACCAAATTATGCAAAAGTGTATTAGACTGACGAAGTATATATAATGGAATATAAAACGTTGGGCATTGGGGTTAGTGTCAACCTGTCAATTGCTCTGGATATGTAGATACGAAACTTCAGAAAATACCTTGCAATTGCGCTGCATGCATTCTTGTTGTGTCTGGACAGTTTGTAAACACATATTCCTGAATGTTGAGCACTTCCAACAATGGATTCTCGTGTTGTTGCAGATAATAAAATGTTCACCTCGGTGATATCCATGAAATATCATTTAAACCTTCCAATACTTATGACGGTGTGTTAAGGGACCCATGAATAACAGACAAAAGCAGCACAATATACCAGTAAACACAACCATCAACTTTCAGGTTACTAAAATGACTTTATAAACATTAAAAGTTCCCTTTTATTTGAGAAATCAGTCCCTTCCCAGGCTTCCTTCGGTAAGGAAAATGTAAGTGACATCTTTTATTTGAGAAAGAAATTCCTTCCCATGCTTGCTTCGGGAGGGAAAATGTAACTGACATTTTTACATCGAAGAAAATATTAATACATCTGTGGGTGTCAGCTAGCTATTGGCGGGCTGGCGCTCCCCTGACGAGGTCCTCGAGGCGATCTTTCCGAGGGACAGCGTGACGCCTCTGTCAGGGAAACCGAAAGTGTGTCCATTAGTCATACAATCTGCCATCCTGGGATTTCGTCAACACAATAAAGTGAATGATATTCATGATTATAAAATGATCATAAAAATGACAATAAAGATGATGATAATGATATTGATGACGATAATAAACAATGGTAATAATAATAATGATGGTGGTAAAGATAGTACTACTACTACTGCTACTACCACTAATGATATTAGTAATAATAATAAGGATAATATTAATGATAATAATGATAACAATGATAATGATAACGATGATAATGATCATAATGACAATGATGATGATAATAACCACAGTGATAATGATAAGCGGGAATTGAAAGAACAAGAAATACGCCTCATCTCTCTCTCTCACTCTCTTCCCGCCTCCCTCCTTTCCTCTCCCTCTCCCTTTTCCGCTCTGCCACCTATTCTCACTCCTAGCGCTTGCTTAGATTCCCTCATCCTTCCAAACTTAAAATCCCAACACCAGTCCCCTCCTGCTTCCCTCCTCATCCTCCTTACAC